CTTGTAAACTGTTTTCCTTTAATCCAAAACAAATCAAATATAATTTTTTCCGGTAAATACCTTGATTTGACTTTTGAGTTGTTTGACGTAATCAATATAAGGCTATAGTAAATGAGTGATAAGGGGGAAATTTACCAGGTTAACGGTGGAAAATGTGTTAAAAAGGGGGAAAATTGTGGTGGTAATATTCGATTAAAGAATAGAGAGATTCTAGGGACAGTATGGGGAAATTATGCGATTTCTATGGACGAAATGGGGTAATTGCGGTGACAGAATGGGGAAACTGTGCGAATTCTGGGGACAGAATGGGGAAATTGTGGAGACAAAATGGGGAAATGGGGTAATTGTGGGGACAGAATGGGGAAACTGTGGGGACAAAGTGAGGAAAATGGGGTAATTGTGGGGACAAAATGGGGACAAAAGGACTTCACAAAATGGGGAAAAGGCGACAAAAATGGGGGCGAAATGGGGTGAATGGGGAAAATCCTACTATTTCCCCATTTTGTCCCCATTTTTACTCAATGCAATGTCCCCATTCTGTCCCCATTTTGAACACGATTTTCCCCATTTTTGTCGAATTCGGTAGGAACTCAGTGCAACTCGATGCACAGTGGTATATATACAAATAAACCGAAAAATAATGTCCTCCTTACCTAATGAACAATTTAAGGACAATTGACCTTATTCCAGGATAATAACTTCCTTTCACCTATGAGCCTGAGTGATGTCTATGGAATCGCAATATTACATCAGTTAAATCTTCCTCCCAAATCAAGACCACTTGCAACCAGTGGAAACGTAGCAAAAAGCGTCATTGAGGATATATGCAATGAAGTCGCTCATAAATCACAATATTACTTCTGACGGTTTTGTACGTACTTTTTGAACAGCGACCAATGAGACGATGACTGGTGTATTGATACCTCCGCCAAAAATTGGGGAAGTTGGGTTTGAGCAAACAACCACGAATTGATCGTTCAATCTTCAACTACATTGACAGCCATCGTCGTACCAAGTGGCTAAATGGTTGCCTTGTTTGGTTTAAAAATATCCGCATACTGTGATACATTAAACATTCATTCTTACGTGAAAGTGTTGTTTTGAACATTGGTAATGCTGTAATCGCTACGAGGAATTCAATAAAGCTTGGGAAGGGTTTGATTGAGCAGTTCAGTCAGCTTCAGTGTCAGTAGATATCATTCTGGTCTCGGGTTGTACCACAAAACTGCTTAGCATTCGGCAGTCTGTCCGTCGCGCTTTTTAACCGCTGCAGCAGATGTCCTACCATTAAATTTCTGGTTTTTCTTCCTACCTACCGCGCGAACTTTGAAAAGGGAGTGAATTTTACACGCTCTTGCTTATTACTGGCTTTTGTTGTATTATATGGTCCAAAAGTCTACAGATTAACTTTGAATCAGTTTATTCTGATCGAAGTTAGTTCACGTTTCAGATATAGCCTATTAAATTATAGGAAGTTGTGTTCCTAAAACCTTATAGTTATATGTATCTATCTTTGTGCACTCACTAGCTTTTTATCGCTGATTTATAAAAGGTTATATATATTTGAAGTCACATTTAATTTTTTCCCCGGTTCGTTTTTAATAACATGCTTATCAAAAGAAACCGCCGCGGAAGGGTTATGTGCCAGTTTCCAGTGGATGAGGGAATGAAGTGTAATAATTGCAAGAGATGGTTTCACAGTATGTGCATGAACCTTACTCCTGCAGCATACAAATGCTGCTTCAAACCTCTAGCAAACTGGTTGTGCAACGACTGCTGTAGTACAACTAAATTCCGTATTATAGAAGCCATTGCCACACCCAGTGGGGCTTTAAAGATCATGGACTGCAAGCGTCCTCCACCACTGGAGAATACCGACTATTACTCAGATAACGATGACGTGACTAGCGTCAGTGACGAAACAGAACATGTCCCCGATGCGTCCTTGCCAATAAGTGAGTGCATTTCAGCACAGAAGAACACCCACCACATTCCAGACTCCCAGGCTGCCCCCACGATACTGGATAATCCCTCCGGTGACAGTAATGGAAAGACCGCTACGAAGAAGAGGCGTACCAAGGGTCGAAAACCTGCAGCTCAGGTCACTGAGGGACTGGCAGATCAAGCCTCATCCACACCGGTTGGTAGCAGGCAGATAAATCCTACTACGATTAGCGAGGAGAACTACAATGAATGGCGTAATGTAGTCTCTCTCAGAAAGCGAGATAAGGATAACACATTGGCTACACCGCCCACGAAGGACAGAAACACACTTACGACGCAGAGCGAGAAAGCCACGGCAAGCAAACCCGATCGCTTTGACAGGTCTCTCATTCTCCACAAAGTGGAAGCGTCACTGGCCCCCCATCCTAAGGCCAGATTCGAGCATGAACCTAACTCGGTTAAGCCCGTTTCAGAAAAGCTACTGCCACAAACAGTATCAGGCATTACTATGCAAAGCTTATATAGAATAGGCCAAAAGCCTGACCCTACGGTAAGTCAGCCTGTACGTCTCCCCAAAGTCGTACTAAACTCGAAAGAAGAGAGGGATGCTATTCTAAGCAACTCTCATAATCTTAAAAGATCAGGGATACATGTCCGCGCTGACCTAAGCCTAGCGGACCGTGTCAAAAGACAGGCTGCGGCACTCGAATTAAGCGAGCGACGCCGGAACGGCGAGAAGAACCTTAAGATCAAGGGTTTTCGGGTTGTCCGAGTTCGCAGTTTAATGATCCTGAAACCTCTGTGGGTGGGCCGGGGAAGCACCAATCTGAATTAACAGTCTGCTACACAAACGCTCGCAGCTTGTTAAATAAACGGACTGAGCTGGCTAACATGACAGACTCCGGAAACCCGGATGTAATTATCATCACAGAGGCATGGCTCATAGCCGATGTCACTGGCAACGAAGTTAACCTGCCAAACTTCGAAGTGCATAGGGTGAACCGACTAAACCGCAAAGGAGGTGGCGTAGTCATCTACCTCAAGAAATGCTTAACCTGCGTAGTATCGAAGCACTCGCTCATGAAAATGAATCGTGCGAACTTCTACGCTGCAGACTTAGATGCATAGGCTAAGACATTGACCTCAGTGCTGTGTACCGTAGTCCTGAGTGCAGTGCAGATGACTTCCTAATAGAGAAGCTAGGCTCCTGGACTTCGAAATGTCGAAGTCTCTTAGTCAGCGACTTCAGCGCCCCTACAGTTGACTGGTCGAGCCTTACAACTCCATCTTCAGTCAACGCCTTTGATCATAAACTGCTGGAATCTAGTATATCACTAGCCCTAGTCCAACATATCACTAAGCCCACGCGCTATGACTCACAGCACTCCTTCTCAACTCCAGACCTAGTGTTCTCCCACGGTGAGGATGTGGATCTCATACAACATCTTCCTCCGTTAGGAAGAAGTGACCATACTGTGCTCACTTTCAAGTTCACAGCAACAGCAGCAAGGGCCAAAACCCCGGCTCGATTAAACGTTTGGAAAGCTGATATAAATGCAATCATCTCAGCAGCCAACTCAGTAAACCGATACATCAACCCAGAGTCCCAAGCAGAAGCCGTATGGAACCAATTTAAACAACTTTACACCCAATTAACTGAACCTTTTATCCCTTGGTCTGTCCCAAAGGGTCAGAAACATTGCCCCCCTTGGATAAACCGAGAGATTCGTAAGTTACTCAGACGTAAACACATATATTGGAACCTGTTTGCCTCACTTGAGACTTTTGAGACCAGGGACTTATATAACACTGCTAGAAATAAAGCTATTGCAGAAATCCGTCAATCAAGGATGAAGTTAGAGGCACACCTGGCTCAAAATGCAAAGGCACAACCTAAGAAAATTTTCTCGAACATGAATTTCAGGAAAAAGCATCCATTGGTGTCCCAAACCTGATTATTGACAATGATACAATCGAAGAAGATCGAGAAAAAGCAGAAGCAATGGCAAACTACTTCTCCCAAGTCTTCACTCAGGAGTTATCACTGCCTCTAGGATCAGCTCTGGCTGCAACAGAAGAACATGGGTTAGATTCCGTTGACATCGATCAAGGCATCGTGCTCAACTGCTTAATGAAACTAGGTGCAGGGAAATCAATGGGTCGCGATAATCTTCATCCAAGGCTTCTCAAGGAACTATCAGCCAATATAGCTGGCCCCTTGACCACGATTTTCAAGCTATCTCTCCTAAGTGGAGTTTTACTGCGTGATTGGAAAGACTCCATAGTAACCCCCATCCACAAAGGAGGATCAAGACAAAGTCCTTCAAATTACAGGCCTGTCAGTCTCACCAGCACTTTAATCAAGACACTGGAAAGAATTATCAAGAAAAGCATCATGGCGTATCTGGAAAATAGCAGCTTGTTATCTAGAGCACAGCATGGCTTCTCATGCCTGTCAAATCTCCTCACTGCAAGAGAAAGCTGGGTCAAATCAAAGGACAACAGAAGACCCGTTGACGTTGTCTTCAAAAACTTCAGTAAAGCTTTTGATAAAGTACCTCACAAGAGACTAATCATGAAGTTGGAAAGTCTTGGTATCAAAGGCAGATAACTTAACTGGCTCAGGGAATTCCTCACAGATAGGAGGCAGAGGGTTAGGATCAACTCAAAACTCTCCTCTTGGACAGCAGTACGAAGCAGAGACACAGTACTCGGTCCTCTCCTATTTATTCTGTATATCAATGAGTTACCTCTGCTCACCGACTCCCCCATGGTCCTATACGCAAATGACTTAAAAATAAGGACAACAGTGATACGTTCGCGTTGCAAGAGGACCTCAACAAATTGTCGGAGTGGTCCGTTGAATGGATGCTCCCGATCAATGTGGCAAAATGTGCAACCATGCGCATTGGACAATCAAGCACAAGCTCCCACGAACTGGAGGGAATAAAACTTCCATCAGTTCAGACTAACTTGGACTTAGGTGTCATAGCTAGCCACAACTTTAAAACTACAGCACACTGTCGCGCGGTGGCTGCACGTAGTTTCAGGCCCTTATGGGTAATTCGCAGAGGCTTCGCTAGAATCTTCAGAGATATATTCACTTCCCTATATACATTTATGGTTAGGTCAAGACTGGAAAACTGCATCCAAGCCGCCAGTCCTTGTCTAAAAGGGGACTCACACATTCTAGAAAGTGTTCAAAGGAAGGCAACACGTATGGTTCACGGCATAGCTAACTTATCATACGAGGAAAGACTAGACAGTTTAAATCTCTTCTCACTGTCATACCGTAGGCAGAGGGAGATTTAATCACAGTGTTGAAAATTTTAAATAATGACTGCGAACCTGACCTATTCTCTCTTTTCCCTCCCACCAGGTCGGAACACCTTAGAGGACATAGCAGAAGAGTTCGAAAGCCAAGGAGAAATCATATTGCTGTTGAGTACTGGTTCTCACATCGATTCATAAACTCTTGGAACCGACTCCCAGAAGAAGTGGTGTCTGCAACCTCAACTGATTCGCTCAAGAAGGGTTTGGACACCCACAGAAATCTACTAGAAAAGGATTAACATAGGCTGCAAGCCTTCTATCCTCAACCAATAAATCTAAAATATAAATCTATATTTATCACTATTTTCACTCATTCATTGGCCTTAACCCAAGCACATCTGAAACGATGATTAGCCAGTACCACTGCTGAGATTCTGTTGAATCAAAGACACCAAATGAATATATGAGACAACTAACAGTTTTGTCTTCAACTGTTGTTTTGCTGCACTAAATAGCCCACTACTTTGACAGTTCGCTATTCGGACTAACTTTTCGTGAGGTCTGCAAGGTCTTTGTTATCATTTGGTCCTAAGTAGCAGTATTTGAGGATTATATTGTAAGTTGGAAGCATATTTTTGGTATGAATTTTTAATGAAGTATACGGGACTAGCGTGTTTGTCATTGGCTCGTAAGTATTGTTAGTAGTGCTCTAATATCGTGGTCAAATTCATTGTTAATCTAGAAATCCCTGACTTTATTTTTATTGAGATCAAATTAAAACTCATATTGATGCAGCATCATGTTTTTATCGATAGAAGCACATATTGTGTGGCAGAGTGGCTAGGACTCTCGCCGACCATGCACATGGTCCGAGGTTCGATCTCCTGCCGACGCGCACCTGATATCAGTGGTCGGCCTGCAAAATTTGGGCTGCCGATATCCATGCTGAAAATTCCATACTTCTACCGAAAGTACAGTGTAGAATCAAGCTGTAATAAAGAAGAGTAATGTGTGAATTATTTTCTTTAAAGTATTTAAGATTAAATTTAGCTTTGCTATTACGAAGTTGTATAGTGCTTTCCAGCTAAACGTTTGTCTTCTGAACTATGTGTTATCCACGTAATGACACTAGGGATTTACTGATTCTAGAAGAACTGCGAGGGTTACATAAATCATATTTCATGAAATGCAGTAATTCAGGGTTGTGTAACCAGTCATTAGACGCTTGTGTAGAGGCTTCTTTCCTTAGTTTTCATGCTTGATATCTCATAAAAGTTATCAGTACTTGAACACACAGTGTTATACAATGCAAACCAGTCTATCACACATTTGCATAATGCAGGACTCATGCATCCCGGGTATTGATTTTACCTTTCACCTTATCGAAATGCTGCACCAGTGGTTAGAGCGTGTTCAGTTACACAGTTGACTGATGTTTCATTTTGTGCATATCTGTAGAGTTGAGGATGATGTAATGGGGAATGTTACCAGGAGTCAGGTCACTTTTACTCACCACGCTCACTCTGTCTCAATGCATAGTTTTACTGCTACGTTTTTATGCTACCTAGTGTCGAGGAAGGAACTCGGTCTAAAACTCTGCCCAAGATCAGTGTACTTTAGTACATACTGTGACTCATGAATGTCCTGGTCACTTGTTGTTAGTGCTTATAAATGACATGAAATGTTCCCAGGTGTGTTCTCACACTTCTAATTCTTGTACATTTTATGTGTACTTTTTGGGGAAACAGAAGAACCAGCAACGAAAGTATCATCTTTGTAAACCTCCTGTTGTGGGTTTTGCTCGAAAAATGTGGAAATCGATGGCTTTTACTAACTGGGATTCACATAAACTAGAGGATTAGTGGTTGCTTTTGCTATCTTCCTCTGACTAAACGCTTGATATCTTATGATAATTTACTGAACTCTGCAATATGTTGTCAATTGACTGTTCATTTACTGTGCTGTGTCGGTAGTGTTTCGAGCTCGTATCTATGTCTCCAAAGTGGTTAATACTGCAAATTTAAAATAACAGCCAAAAACACAGTGACTTCGAACAACCTATCAGAATTTCTATCCAAAATGCCGCATAATTGTGGGAAAATTCTCTAAAAGCATTGCAAACAAGGTATGACACCATATATTTGTCGCTTATGTGTTGTAAGAATGTCTCCCAGTCACTTCACAGGTCTTTCGGGAAATTGCAACATGCGCGATAGATGCATTCATCTAAGTGATTATGGGTCGTAGTACTTTAAGATCCGTTGATATTTCTGGCACTGTTGTTTAACCTAATCCTATCTCTAACCATAGTCCAAACTCCTTATCCTAACCTTAACTCTAGACCATAAACCTTAATCTAAAAACCCATAACCCTACCTAACAGTATAGATTTACAGAAAAGGTACTTGGGAAATAAGTAGATTATTGTATCTGCCCTCTCCAAGTGTATGTTTTGATTTGGAATGACTTTTCATAGCATTGTGTGTATCTGATTGGTTCTTAAAGGTCAACTTTTAAAAAATTGTGACGTTGGCTATGATAATTGGTCGTTCAGAATAATTTTTAGCTTCCAGTCATGGTTTTCATACTTCGTTTTCACTTACTTTTCAAAGATATTATGAAGTGGTGAACTTTATTCATACTTCTGAACCACATTAGTCGTTTTGAAGTATTTCATTTTAAAGTTTATCACACTTGTCAAGTATCAAACTAGATTTTCGATCATAATATTATGTACCTTTAAGGTGCATTTCTAAGTTAAAAACCTTTGTGTTATTCATATCCATGTATGTAACGTATTTCTTTACGGAGAATAATGCACTGTTCTCTACTTTTTCCTATGTTAGATGCTTCTAAATTACTGTTTGTGTAGTATACGTTCGCATGACAAGTAGTTGATGCCAGAACAAAGAGAAACTTACAATATATGAATGTTTCCGAATTAATAATAGCGACCTGAAAGTCACTTAATCAACGTTTCCTTAAGGCGTTACTTAACTTTGTCAGCTAGTTGGTCGGCCTTTGTTCTACGTAGCCTACATTTACTTCGTATTAGGTGATGCACAAAAAGGCAGTTGTTTCAATCATTTTTATTGCTATAGGCTTATTAAAATAGTTAAGATTCTAGATTACAGTTTCTAAAGTTTATAATGTCTGTCAAACACATTTGAGCTTACGGTTATTTTTTGAACTCTAATAAATTATTGTTTTAACTGGTTAGTTAAAGTGCGTATGTTAATGTATACATCTGTCTGCTTGTAAAAGCTAAGAATTAGTCTAGAATATCCCAGTGTAGTTTGATAAAAGAATCAGTTCATGCAACGCAGTGGAATAGCCAGCTTTTAGTAATCAAAACTTGTTTCCTTTTGAGTTGTTAACAAAATATTGTCGTATGGCTTATGTTCAAAATATATTTTCGCCTTTCAGATGTTTATGCGCCGAAGTAAATTCAAACATGTTTTCGGTAAACCGTGCAAGAAAGAATTTTGTTATGAAGATATACGGATAACTAAAAGTAGTTGGGATGCTCGATTCTGCGCTGTAAATCCCAAGTACTTGGCAATTATCACTGAAGCTGCTGGAGGTGGTGCGTTTCTTGTTCTGCCCATAGAAAAGGTAATGTTGATTCGATGGATAGCACGAACCAAATCACCTTAAGGTGTTACAGTATAATATGGAGTTTATTGTTAGTACGTTTCCTAGTCAAAATTAATCATCAGTCACCTTTGTGTTGAGCTCATTATCATAATGTAGGCCCAAAAATGATCAAGTAAATGCTAAACTATGTCTAAAATTTGTCGTCAGTGCAACAAAAGTTCTGCTACCAATTTGTGATGTACTTTGTTTGTTGTCTGATGTCATTTTTAATCTCTAGCTGTTGTTATCCGTGCTAACAATATAGATTGTGAATTTGTTTGAATCATGGTATTGGATGGGGTAGCTGCTTTTTGTTTAACCGCTATCCAAACAACCTGCCTGGCATGGTAGAACCTCAAGAGACATAAGTCTCAGCCAGTATAGCTTGATTAGGTCATTGCGGTGTTCAAGCCCGACCACCACGTCAAGGTAGCAGCTTTCGGTCGGAACAAAATGCAGAGTCTTCTGAACACCTGGAGCAGCAATCTCCGTATGTTTGGCATGCGATTCGCCCCTACAAAATGTAAGATGCTGCTACAGGACTGGACCACGTCAACTCCTAACTTAGTGATAGGGAGTGAAGTGATAGAACATGTTGACCACTTCACCTATTTGGGACGTTGTATTAGCACCAACGGACTGATTGGCGATGAAATCTCAGCACGGATCCGAAAAGCTCGAGCTGCTTTCGCTGACTTACACCATCTCTGGCGTAGGCGTGACATCCGGTTATCAACCAAGGGACGTGTGTACTGCTCAGCTGCAGTTCGCTCCGTCCTTGTCTATGTCTCTGAAACATGGCCAATACGCGTTGAAGACATGAAAAGGTTGACTGCTTTCGATCATAGATGTCTGCCACCTTTGTCTCACGTTAGGTGGTTTGATAAGGTAAGTAATGTTGACGTTAGGCGTAGAGTGTTGGGCAAAGAGGGAAAATCAATCGACGAAGCTATAAAGTTACATAGATTGAGATGGCTAGGTCACGTGCTGCGCATGCCTAACCACCGCCTCCCCCGACGGGCATTGCTTGCTGATATAGGTGAAGGTTGGAAAAGAGCCAGTGGTGGCCAAACGAAAACATGGCATCAATCCATGAAATCCTTGACAGTTAAACTGAGTCAGGTAGGGAGATGCAGACTTCCGGGTTGGGGCCCTCGGGACTCTAGGAATCAATGGCTGGAGACAATAGGTGACATGGCTCAAAATCGTTGTCACTGGCCAGCGCAGATGTATTCAGTCTCTGTAATCTTTCATATTCCTCTCTACCATTACCCATTCTGTTTCACTCTTATACTTGTCAGACTGTATTGATTCTCTTCACTCATCTTCTTGTCTACTTTTGTGTGCTATTTGGAAGGTGGCAACTCGAACTGCTGCACTTCGGTGCCAAGTTCTATGTTGAATCCAGACAGAACAATATAGATACAAATAAGTTGTTGACGATCGTTTTATTTCAGATTGTTTTTCTCTTATCAAGCCTTGTTTTTATCAGTAGGGTATGTTACTAAACTTTTCTGTATTTACTTGTTTCTTCATAGAAAGGTTGTTTCAATTTGTGTCATCTAGTCACTTCAGTGGTGTTGATCAGATACCATAACTGATCTTGATGTAAGACGGATATTTCTGGGGAAACGCCATACTAGAATATAACTGGCGTCAATTCTGTGAGTTTTAAATTCCATCGTAGAGGTTGACTTGTCCGTCGATAGCCCTAGGCTTTTAGTAGATGTAGTCTTTTGGTCACATTTTGTGTGCCTTCAGTGGTTTCGTTTATTTATCTCACTCGTGTTAGAGATATGGGGGTTTTCAGTATCAAACGAAGTGACTGTTCTATATTCTGTCTGTTTGTCTGGATTCAACATAGAACTTGGCACCGAAGTGCAGCAGTTCGAGTTGCCACCTTCCAAATAGCACACAAAAGTAGACAAGAAGATGAGTGAAGAGAATCAATACAGTCTGACAAGTATAAGAGTGAAACAGAATGGGTAATGGTAGAGAGGAATATGAAAGATTACAGAGACTGAATACATCTGCGCTGGCCAGTGACAACGATTTTGAGCCATGTCACCTATTGTCTCCAGCCATTGATTCCTAGAGTCCCGAGGGCCCCAACCCGGGGCCTGTTCTATATTATCATATTTTATGAAATTTCTTCATATAAGAAATTCATGTTGGTATATTTTCTTTATCTCTTTCACTTTTTTGTACAGTGTGAAGTACGGGAAATTTAGAGTTATAGATAAAATATCTAGTTGTTAATATATAAACGTACATTTTCTTCTGTAATCTGGTTGGTTTACTGTTATTCCAGTTACAGCTTGTTGTCATGTATGTGTGAAGCTACATATGTCATGGATTTAGAACCAGTTACCTAGTTTTGAAATTATGAGTTGAGGCCAATCATCCTTGATGTGTAATTAAAGACATATGTTTGTGATGAGTGGAGTAGTAGGACTGCGTTACTTTTCCACACGTCATTTTTAAAGATATCGATTCGTAGTCATAATATTCAAGTCAGTAAGTTTGTTGATAAACAGTCACCATATCTACTTACTCATTTTTGTTTGAATTCTCTCAGCCATCAAATTAATGTACCTGTTTTGCGTGTTAACTGGAGCTTAAGACTCTAATTACGTGCTTGTCAAAGTCGAAAGTATTAGTCTGTTGATCTAAGATTGAAAAATGCCTTTGCATTGCTACTCAAACTGTGAATGCTGGTAAGAACTATTTTTCACTCGATTAAATTTAAACTCACTAGTTCCTAGTGAAAAGTGTCATTCATTTTAGTCAAGTAAGTGTTAAATTTGATTTGCATACGGTTACTTAAAGGTAGCTTCTTGGTTACACTATAGGTCTCTCCACTATCATTTGTGGCAAGCCTTTTATAAAGTTAGTAGCTTTCGACCACGTAGCACTATATATCAGATTTCGGAAAATAGTAGATGTTTCTTGTGCAGTATCAGTGACATTAATTTACGTGAATGTAATTTTCTTTAGGTGGGACGGGTGGAACGTGATGCTCCTCTTGTTGCTGGCCATAAGGGGAGTGTCTTAGACATACAGTGGTGCCCACATAATGATGATCTTATTGCTAGTGGTTCAGAAGATTGTACTGTAAAGGTCTGGCAAATTCCAGAAGGTGGACTTCTCCCGCAAACAAATTTAACAACACCTGTGGCTGATCTGGTGTCTCATCAACGTCGCGTTGGATTAGTCGTATGGCATCCAACAGCTGAGCATGTCTTATTGTCCGCAGGTAATACTACTTTTAATCTTGATCTGAAGTGAAAACATTGATCAGTGTTTACTTGTGAAACCTATTTCTCTTTTTTCGTTTGTAACTTCAGACTAATTGTATTTTGTATTTTTAAGATAATCTTCTGGGAAATTGTGAAAAAGCAAATATCTATGGAATATTTTAACTTTTAAGGCGAATATTTACAGCCTCATAGTTCTTCATATTTATGTTATCGAGATGTGGAGTTAAGTGACACTTCCGTGTTTTTAGTTTTTCTCTCAATACAACATATAAACTATCTAGAACTCGTGGACTAAGAAGTATAGCCTTCTATCACCTATTCTATATCACTCCGTTTTTAGCGTGATAGTAGAAGTTTCTTTTTCATCAAACCTGCTATTCCTGCTCACAAACTGTGTAAACGTTTATGAAGATTTGTCATTTGGATGATAGTCAACAGTAATTTCCTTCAGAATCACTCGCAGTTTGCTTTCAATGGCCAGTAAGTACGAAACTAAGACACATGGTATACTTTTCGACTAGTCTTCTGAGTCTTTTGTTGTTAATAGAAAGCAGTACAGTGGGTCAGTCTAACTTCTTCACTATTCTGGTATATACATCATTTTTATTGATTTAGCACACACGATTTCATGAGTTGTATTCACTCAGTCATACTGCATTAATGAGTGCTACTGCAAGATGATTGTCCTATGATGTTTTAATGGTTGCTAATAACCACGCGTATTAACTTTTGATACCACTTGAATCATAAGTAACTGGTACAAATTAATTAATATAAAAATAGGATTTTGGGCACTGTCGTAAAGCATAATCCCATCATGAGGTAACTTTATTTGATAAGATGCAGTGATACAGTATTATTTCATAATGACGTTTCGGTCACTATTATTATTGTTCCCTTGGGTTCCTAGTGGAACATAGGGCTTCAACTGCACGTATCCACTTGCTTCTGTCTTCTGCTGTACTTTTCACCTGCATCCATGTTATTCCTTACTGTTTCAACCCCTCTTCACTCCATCTCCTCCATATCACCCACCTTTGGACGTCCCACTCGCCGCTTCCTTTTCGGGTTCCACTCGATCAATGGCCTGATGCGCGATGTCACCCAGCAGTCTCCTCAGCGAGTGACCGATCCATCTTCACTTTCTCCTGCATATTTGTTGGTTGGCGATTGGTTCTTGTTTTGGTTGTGCCCAGCCATAGTTTCTTGTTGGTGATTCTTTCCAGCCCGGTCCGGCCATCTGATCTTCAGTATCTGTCTGTTTTCGACATAGAACTTTGCACAAATGTGCGGAAGTTCAAGTCGCCACATTCCGTGTAGCACGCGAAGCAAGAGAAGAAAGTACAAGAAAAGCAAATAGAAACAGTGAGCAGAGGTGTGAGACAAAGGAGTAATAAAGAAATACAAAACAGTTTCATTGGAGATCATAAGTCACAGGGAGTGGATGCATCTGCGCCACTGAGAACGATTTTGAGCCATGTCACCAATTGTTTCCAACCATAGATTTTTACCGTCCCGAGGACCCCAGCCTGGAAGTCTACACCTTCCTACGTGGCTAAGACCAACTGTTGTGGATTTCATTGACTGATGCCAAGTTTTTGTTTGACCGCCGCTAGCTTTTTTCCAGCCTGACCCTATATCCGCTAACATTGCTCGTCGAGGGAGGCGATGGCTTGGCATACGTAACACATGTCCTAACCATCTCAGTCGATGTAGCTTCACGACTTCGTCGATTGATTTCCCCTGTTTACCTAGAACTCTACGCCTAACCTCCATGTTGCTCACCTTATTATGCCACTTTACACGGGAAATAGAACGCAGGCACCTATGATCAAAGACAGCTAGTCTTTTCATGTCTTCCACTCTCAGTGGCCAGGTCTCACAACCATAAAGGAGGACGGAGCGGACTGATGAGCAGTACACCCGCCCTTTGGTCGATAGTCGAACATCTCGTCTACGCCAGAGTCGGCGTAAACTAACAAATGCGAAACGAGCCCCTTGTATTCGTGCTGAGATTTCGTCAGAGATCAGCCCGTTGGGGCTGATGGTACTTCCCAAATAAGTGAAGCGGTCAACGTGCTCTACCACTTCACTTCCTATTTTTAAACTAGGCGTCAGCGTAGTCCAGTCCTGTAACATCATCTTGCATTTGGCGGGAGCGAATCGCATGCCAAACATTCGTAGATTGCTGTTCAAGGTGTTTAGAAGACTCTGCATTTCGTCAGCGTCTTCGCCTAGAAGGACTATATCGTCTGCATATTCCAAGTCAACGAGATTATTCCCAGGTAGCAAGTCAATCCCTGAATCGCTGAAGTCACCTAGGGTTAAGTCCATTAACACATCTATGATGAAGTTGAATAGAAAAGGAGATAATGGGCATCCTTGACGGACACCACTGGTCGTCATCAGTTCAGATGACAGCTCGCCGTAAGCCCTCACCTGGCTGTATGAGTACGAATAGAGTGCCTTAATCAGTGCAATATATTTTCTCGGAATTCCCTTTACAGCCAAGCATCTCCAGAGAACTTCCCGATCGACAGAGTCGAATGCTGCCTTTAGGTCAAGAAATATAATGACTGTTGGACGCCGGTAGGAATGCCTATGTTCTAGAATCTGTCGGAGGGTGAAGATATGATCAATACACCCTCTTCCTGGTCTAAAGCCTGCCTGGCTCTCTCGTGTTTGTGCTTCCCGAGCACCACTCAGTCTACGCATGATTATTGAGCCTAAGACTTTAGATACTATATTAGTCAAGCTAATCCCTCTGTGATTATCACAGGAAGACTTGTCTCCCTTCTTGTATATGGGGATAATCAGTGACTTACACCAACCCGATGGGACTTCTTCTGATTCCCAAACGCTGCCTAGTACCTCAGTTAATCCGGACAGTAAGCTGTCTCCACCGTACTTAAATACCTCTGGAGTCATTCCATCAGGTCCCGCTGCTTTGCCTAGTTTCAGATTGGTGACAGCTTTAGTAACCTCAGTTAGTGACGGAGGACCTGTATCTATATCCCATTCAGGGAGGTGTTGGATGCTCGGAAGGTTGAGCGTGGCTGTGGGCAAATTAAACTGCTCCTCATAATGCTCTTTCCAACGATCCAGTCGTCTATCCTGTGAGCTAATTATAGTGCCATTTTTTTCCGAGATTGTCTCACTAATGATTTGTCTTCTCCCACCCGTTTCCCTGATGAGTCCAAAGAGTTGCCTGGTGTTGCCTATCCTCGAAGCTTTCTCCATCTCTTTGGCTTTTGTCGCCCACCACTGTTCACGGTCCTTGCGGAGACTTTTCGTAAGTTTCCTCTTGTGCAGCTTTCGCTCCTCATTGAATTCGGAGCTCGCCGGAATAAGTCTTCTAGCATCTATCAGTTCGGATGAGGCGGTGGAGATCCAGTGGTTTTTACTCACCTTTGGGTTTACCTTATTCACAGCTTTTACAGCTGTATCTATGGCTGCCTGGATATTTTTCCAAGCTTCTTCAGGGTGAGCACAGCTGTCGAACACAGATATGTGTTTAGCTAATTCTTCCTCAAATACGGATTTAGTTTCCTGATCGAGCTGGGGACGTGATGGTTTTACCGCCAGCTGTTTCCTACGTCCGTTCAGTCGTAAGCACACACGAGCGCGGACCAGTGCATGGTCGGTATCTACGCACGTGTTCCAGAAGGAGCGACAATCTCCTACCGACCCACGCCAACGATAGCTTATTGCTATGTGGTCTATTTGTGTCCAGCGTTGGTTTGACGATCTTCAGTATAGATCCAGCGAAGACAGTTGTTGATAAAGGTCTGCAACAGGCTGTTGGAAATATTCTTTGTGACCCGCCCGCCAAGTTTCTGATCCGTATAGAAGAACCGACTGACTTGACGTTTGTATTGAAAATCCGACCGAATTTTGTTGTTTATGCTGGCTGAGTGACGAAGATTTTCGGATTGGTTTCAGATTGATGAATGTGTTCCTCGCCTTTCGGATTCTCACTCGATTTGACATCCTCGTCCGTTCCGACTTCCTGTAGTTGAGACAATGCTCCCTAGATAGGTGAATGAAGTAACCTCTTTCAAATCCCTCCCGTTGATGGTGATTGACGTTGGATGTTGTTGCTGTTGTTGTTGGTTGGTTGGTTATTTTCATAACCTCCGTCTTGTCTGTGTTCACCTGGAGTCCTGTCTTCGCCGGCTGCTTCTTCGACCAGTTTGTCGGTTTTCGCTTGTAAGTCTTCGATTGTGTGTGACATCAAGCATAAATCATCCACGCGCGAAATCCAGGTCTTCTAGGTTCTTCGCGTCGGTCCAGGATATTCCTGTCTTCTCGTTTCCCACTGTCTGACGCACAATCCAGTCCACAACAATTAGGAATAATGATAAGCCGGAACCCTTGTCTGACTCCTGTGTTTACTCCGAACGCCTCGCTGAGTTTTCCGTTGTTGATCACTTGACATGTGCCGTTGTCGTACAGCTGTTGAATAAGGTTGATGAATATTTGGGGTACGCCGTAGTTTTCGAGTAGTTTCCAAATTACTTCACGGTCAACGCTGTCGAAGGCCTTCTCGAAGTCTATAAAGTTGAGGTAGAGGTTTGATTGCCTCTACCTCAGCTTTTGTTCACGATTGATTACTTATAATCTTATCAAGGTAATCTCATAACTTTTAAACTTTGTCTATATCATCCTACTATTTCTTATCCTTTCGTTTCGCTGGTAGCAATGTTTTTTTCATATTTCTGGCGTCAGTTCTGCGTCATTCCTGTTGCATGTGTTGCATGTAAATTCGAAAAAAAAGACTTCAACAATTGTGATGCATGCACTGACACAATCATTCACACAGCAGACTGGGAAGAGCTACAGTCCTAAAGAATAATATATAAGTAGGTGGAGAGAGGTTGACCACTGAATCTTTGTTCATCGAATCTAGGCAAAAGACTTGCGAAAGGAATAACGCAGCACCTACATCACAGATGCAAGAAATATTACTATCAAAAAAAATAATCAAAAAATGAAAGATAATGGAACTACATAAATAAACTGTGAGAGTTATGCTGGGGGTTGATATAATTATGATCAATGAATTCTTCTCAAAACGTCATCAGTAAGTAATACTTTATCACAGTGTTTCTATCAGGGTGAAAAAGTTGTCAGAAAACTGAAGTCAATGGAGGTGCGCAGCTGAAGCCCTATGTTCCTCTAGGAACTAAAGGATACAATAATAATAATAAAATGGTTCTATAATGGTATACATTTCTAGTTATGTACGTTATACCATAAAGTAATGTGTACTACACTTATTTGGTAGTTGGTGGTTACCTAATATAGGAGGGTAGTTTTTCTTAGTTCGTATAGTATTGACAAGTTCTGTTAAGGAAATGAATGTGCAGATTATTTCTCGGTGGTAAGCGATTCTGTGTAAAGCACGACTCGTGTTATGACTTGGTGTATTGTATAACTTCATATAATTGTGTAGATGTCGTTATACCACGATTGGTCAAACTGTGCACCTTAATAGCACAATCTAACATATTTAATCATTTTAAAGTTTTATTTAAAAAAAATGAAATGCGTAGTTCTATGTTTTGATTTGTATCATATTTTGACTGTACAGTAAATAAAACATAAGGCATAGGTTATACAAGTGTTGCTAAACTTTTGTTGATATAAACGTAGCTAAGGGTTTTACAAAAACTGGATTGACGTGAATAAAATGTCTTATTACAGCAGGACTTAGGTTAATTCCATAGCAGAGTAATTTTATTTGAGAAAATACAGTGCATACTGTATCACTGTGTGTATGGAAATGTGAATAAACATGTAGTTATCTTAGGTTGTTTTTTACCTGGCTTATCTATTAATATCTGTAACTCGCTGGGTTGGGCATTTCATTTTTAAACAGTAGGTTATAGTTTCGGGTCCCCCTACCTATCAAGGTTTATGTACTCACGCTGTATGACAGCTTTCGCTCATTGCATAGTACATGGTCGTGTAAATTGTTGTTAAATTACAGTTTCTTGTTATTGTGTACTTAATTCGAAACTGTGTACCAGTTGGACTTTTTCTTTCTATTTGTATGAACTCATTTGATAACTTTCAAGCTATTTAACTATTGTACTTCAGGAACACATTAAATATACCGTATTTATCCCTCTAATACTTTTTAATTCCTGTTTAGCGTCGGTGGCACAGCCTTAGAATGCTCGCTAATCATGCATGTGATCCGGAGTTTGATCCCCTACCGCGCACTCATTTACCTTGCTATGCCAGTAATAGGGGTTATCACGTTCACCTCACACGCGAAAGGTCCCCGGTTCGTACCCGGGCTGGACCAGGATGACCTGTCTGGCGATTTGTGCGTCGGCGGCACAGTGGTTAGGACTCTCGCCGACCATGCACATGGTCCAGGGTTCAATCCCCTGCCAATAGACACCTAATATCAATGGTCAGTATGCGGAATTCGGGCTACTGATATCACATGCTGAAAATTCCATACTTGTATCAAAAATACGGTGTGGAATCAAGCTGTAATAAAAAAATAATAAAACTGGTAATGAGGGAAAGTTGGGCATAAGACTAGCAACCCCATCGCGTGAAAATAAACGCCGCTGCTACCGAAACTTCAAACCTTTAGCTTGAAGCCCTATGTTCCACTGGGAACGTAAAGGAATAAAAAAAATTCTTGTGTAAGAATCCAATGTTTCAGAGTAATATTTCCTTCGTTTGTGTAAATCTATGGAAATTGTATTCTTCTCCTCGACTTTCACGTTTTTATAATAATGAGATTTCTAAAAATGCTTTACGATAAACCAGTGAAGTTGTCCTTACATTATTTGATCACTACCAAATGTACTGGATATCAAGGTAGCTGGGTCATCATAAAATTTTCATCAATATTGTTAAACAGTTTAAAAAATAATGGATCTATTGCTTCGAATGATTTTGTTCTTCCCTTATTTCTTTTAGTATCAATTCAATTTTTTTAAAATTTCATTGTTTTCTAAACCTGTTTGACTTCCAATCATTGAGTTCCTATTTAATTGTCCTGGTTTGAGTAACTGATTATTTTCATAGGCTCTTAAGTGATCTAATTTTTAACTTGTTACAGCATGATATATGGGTGAACTGACAGTCGAATGTTTTGTTCAAGCACTGTACTAAGTTTAGATTTGTCGTGATTGTGTACCACTGTATGTTTCTTGTGTTACATTAAGTGGATTATTTGAGATGAGACTTCATGTTAATTGTGGACTGGTATTTAATTGACCATTGTTGAAACATTTCCCACTCACTTATACGAATTTTCCTGTATTCATATTGGTTTATTCGTTGTGGAATCAAAGTTTGCATATATATTAATGCACTGAATTTCAGTACAACATCAAAAAAATATAGTGATGTGTTGTATTGTGTTCATTTAAACAAACTTACCTTATTCATCATAATAAAGGTTTTTGTATTTCTCAATGAATGAAAAACAAAACGATATTGTTTTTACTGACGTTTTGTTTTTCATTCATTGGGAAATACAAAAACCTTTATTATAATGAATATCATATGCCCAATGCCCAAATTTTTTCAAACTTCCTTTATCTTTATGTATCCTAACAGCAATGAAGGTTGATGAGACATTTTACCTTCAGTTCTGTGCAGTTTTGTTAAAGCTTCACGTTTGACTTCTTACTCTCACTAGCTGGAGTAACATTTTAATACTTTTAGCATTAGTTATATTTCTTCGATAACTTCTGCTCAAAATTTTAATCCATTATTAGGTGTATCATTATTACATAGGTATTTGTCATGTAGACTTCAGTAACACTTCGATGTTTCTAATCACTACTCGCAAATTATTGATTAAAAGAAAGTAAATCACAAATTTCCGGTATTTAGTACATTTCTGTTTATGACTATTACTATTGTTTGACACTATTAATTGTTTAATACGCCTCCGTATATTTGTTTATTTGCGTTTTTAACTCATTAGGTGCTGATAATATGGTGTTTATATGGAATGTAGCTACAGAAGAGCCATTGGTTGAAATAGCATTTCCAGATATTGTTTTATCTGCTTGTTTTAATTACAACGGTTCTCGATTGGTTACAACCTGTAAAGATCGGCGTACACGAGTACTTAACCCACGGACTGGAGCAATTATTGTTGTAAGTATTTTACCCTTTTACTTTTTCCCTGATTCTGCACACTCTTACTTTCATAGGTTAACTTAACTGATGTATATTATGTGAAGTCAGTGCTACTATACGGGTCAGAGACTTGGGGCGTCATAAAGAGCATCTCAAACAAACTACAGACCTTCATTAACAGTTATCTTCGCTCAATACTACTCAAGATCAGATGGCCGAAAAAGATCAGCAACAGGGATCTCTGCGAGTGAACCAACCAGGAACCGATTGTGAAGCAAATAGGCAGAATGATATGGAGATGGGTTGGCCATACTCTGAGAAAACCATCAAGTGACATCCATCACACATCAGGCCATCGCTCCAGTGGAACCGGAGTGGGAAGCGGCGAGTTGGTCGTCCAAGGGTGACTTGGAGGTTATGTGAAGAGGAGATGAAAGCGTGTGGGCAGACCTGGAGCGAGGTGAAGACGTTGGCAGAAAACCGAAGTCAATGGAGACGTGCGGCTGAAGCCCTATGTTCCTATAGGAATTATGACTTGATCTGTGCATAATTGTTTATTGATACACCTACATTCATTGTCTTTTATATATTTACGAGGTATATTTTCGTCTTCTAAGGAAGTTTTATGGTGTTTCTAGTAAAGTAAATATTATATCGTGACTTACTAGACCTCTTTTGTATAGCATTTTATGCTTTCTTAAGTTGTCAGTTATATAAAGGTCTGGTATACACATATAGGTTAATAAATGTCTGAGGTATATTTCATCGTTAAGCTGTTGTGTTGTAGATTCATAGTCAGTTTGTTTCACTGTATCTTGGGCCAATCAATGGTACCACCGTTTATTGTTCAACCGGAGTGATACATATAAATACATGGTTTTCTGTAGTTACAATTTCTCAAGACGACTCACATTGTCTTATGCGTATCATTTAAAAAGTAGTTATTTCCTAAAGTGAACCAGTTAGACTTTAGATTCTAATATGTTGCTGGTTTGGAATTGGCAAGAGTTTGAGTTCATGAGTCAGTCATTGGATCGGATCCGAGTGTCTAAATGGTTTACGACCTCGCCTAGTAACAGGAAGACTCTGAATTCAAACCCCACTGAGCGTGTACTGGGGAAGAATACCAAACTAGGACGAAGCTGCCGTCCAGTATTATTTGGTTTTCTAATGGTTCTCTAACTGATATCAGCACGTGATCAAACCTGATATAGATATTTCAAGTAGTAGTACTGGATTGAGGGAACAAGAAGCTGTTACTGTTACATTGTCTGTGTTTATCGAATCACTCAACTGTATATGCATTAAGTCAAATTGTGATTGATTTAACGAATAAAAACATAATTTCCATCGATAAATTCATTGGCTATTTTTCTGACTTGTTTTAGAAAATCGTTTGGATATTGTCCTGCAGTTAATGTAATTAGATAGTTTAAAGCTTACTGATACAGCTCAAAGTCAGTCGTATCAACGCAGATCTATTCATACACAGTCTTGATTATTGCTAAGACAACAAATATAATCATTTTTTCTATTCTTCTTCGTGTTGCACTATTTCGTGACAGTCATATAATAATTCTGTCTTAGGATTTCATCATGAACTGATATCGGTTAGAGGACCATTGAAAAACCCAAGAGTACTGGACGGCCGTTTCGTCCTAGTTTGGGACCCTTCATCAGCACACACCCACTGCCACGGTTCGAACCCAAGTCCTGGTTACAGAGCGAGCTCGTAGACCATTAAGCCACTGGGGCCCGATCCAATGGCCCATGAATCCTAACTTCTGCCAATTCATGACAGCGCGACCCCTAGCCAATGTCATCCTTGGCGAGTACCTGTCCTCACGCCTGACCTGCTGTACCCCAGTGGCCATGACTCCCCAATAGAACCCAGATAACTACCTGCCTGAATAGGGCTAATCACTAGTGAGCATCAGATTGATATTCAAGTGTCGGTTTGCAGGGATTTGATTGATTGTTTTCTGGATTTCATCGTGAACTGACATCAATTTGGTCTTACCATTATTATTACGCACTTGAGGTGCGTGTGTTAGCAATGACTGCTTGGATCATTATGCAGAAAAGTCAGACAGGTAGTTGTATAGTTGATTGTTTAAGATTACTACTTGGAATAATTTGAAAGATTTACTTTTAGTAAACGTCATTCAATTTTTCTTAGGATGGCATGTGTCACCAAGGCACAAAACCCCAGGAGGCTGTTTATATCAAAGATAATCGAATTTTCACCACGGGTTTCTCACCAATGAGTGAACGTCAGTATGCACTATGGAAAGATGTAAGTTTTTTTAAAGCCTTTTCTGATATTGTAAGGAAAAAAGCTATTGAATAATATAATGGGAAGAGCTTAAATATTTCGGGAAAGGTACATATTTTAAGCAATAGCATTAAAGAAATACAACTGAATCCACGTTTATATTTTTCTATCAAATACTCCTCGAACACAATCACTTACATTTTTCATACCTCTTGGATTAATAATTATCTAGTGTTCAGATTAATGTTATAAGTGAATCCAGTAATTTAGAACATCCTCTTATTTCCATTATGGGTAAATTTTTGTTTTGTACGCACTAGTGTGTACAGAAAACCAACTCATTCTAATAGATACTCATCCGTTAACTGTTAAGGCAGGCTTAGTTAAGTGTTTAGCAAACCGAGCAGTAGCACAAGAAAAGACCTAAATGATGAACTAAAACGGATAGAAGAGGCTTTGGTGTTCAATAACTATCCTTTAAAATTCATTAGGAAGATCGAGAAAGGCCAAACGAAAAATAAAAGTAATCGTGAAACTAGTAATAATAACATAAATAAGAGAGAATATAAGTCATCTACAGTTATACCATATAAAGAGGGGACATCTGAAGTCCTACGTAGGATTCTAAATAAAGCAGGAATTAGGGTGGCATTTAAACCTACAAACTCACTCAGGGACAAGCTGTGTAGGTTAAAGGACCCAGTTAATCCAATTAGACAAAATAATATAATTTACAAAATACCCTGCAATGACTGTGAGGTCAACTATATAGGTCAAACTAGTAGGTCGAGGGTAGTTAGATTGTCAGAACATAAGAATTTAACTAAGGTAAGAATGGTTGACCCTGAAAAGATAAGTAATTTAGAAAAAGCTTAGCAATTGCAATGCATGCATTAAGACACAATCACACAATAGGGTGGGAGGGGGTTAAAATTCTAAGCAGTAATCTAGATAGGTGGAGAGAGAGGTTGATTACTGAATCCTTGTTCATCGAGTCTACACCAAACACATGCAACAGGAATGATTCATCACTCATACCTGAAATATGGAAAATACTACTGCCAATCAAATCAAGTGAAAAATAATGGAACTATATAAATGAAGTTAGAAAGTTTTGTGAGGAGTACCTTGATATGATTATGAGCAATAAATTGTGCTCGAAACGTCATCAGTAAACATTACTGTGTAACACTGTGAGACTTTATCAAAACAAAAAATTTACCCATAATGGAATTATACTCTACCACAGTGCACAAGTTTTATTCTTATATCAATGATCCTCTTATTTCCTTATAGTTCTTATAGAGTTCTTATAAAGTTATTGTAACTGTTTTCGAAAGAGGTGTGTTGTGACTATTATTGTATATGAGCATGTAATGTGATAAATTACCACACTTCAATTCGGTGTCTACATGGACAACATAAATTAGAATTTTATTACACCAAGGACTCTTTTTAATCATAGCGATCGTGTTTTAGGTAAGTAGCACACACCACACTATCTGGTAAACCGACATGCTTATGTTACACATGTCACATTGCTTACTCTAATTGGTAATTGAAGTTATGATAATGTAGAGAACTTTTCAAACTTATCATCTGTACACCTAGTGAGTCAGTCACTCACACAGCTTTGTTACATGTCTTTCTTGTCAAACGTGTAATTTGTGCGACTGTTAGACCAAATTCACCATGTCAGGAGATGAGATCCAAGAATTCGTTATCTTGTGACAATAAAAAGAAAGTATCAATTAATACACCTAAAGGAGTGACAATCGTCTGAATAAAATGACTTTCTAGGTGTAAAATTCAATGCTTGGGACTGTGACATGGCTATTTGACTCTTGTAGCTTTGTTTCATTCATACTTACATAGTTTCTGTTGTTACTTTTGTTTTTGTTATGTTGAGATATGTGATAGAGTATCATACGGAAAAAGTTAGATTACATTTATGTAGGCCGAAATATGTTTTGCGGGTTGTGCAAGCCCCATTACTACATCAAGATAGAAATTATTGTTGATTGAACGTTGATGTTGAATACACTTGTATGCTTTACACTAGTCAATGAATTCTTTGTTTTAGGAGGATATTTCTGAACCTTTACATATTCAAGAATTGGATACAAGCAATGGCGTACTGTTTCCTTTCTACGATTCCGATACTAATTTAATATATCTTTGTGGGAAGGTAAGTGTTATCTACCGACTTTTTATTATACCAGTTTTGATTAGTTTAATTATCACCTTCTTACTTGTTGTTTTCATTTATCAACATCTGGCTCAGAGTTCTGAATTTAGTCAAACTAACGATTATTTGACTTATTTGACAAAAAGATCAGCTTAACACATAAAGTTACTTCGTTTTGCGGGAGAAAGTCTCTAGGTTTTTGTAGGGGCATATTTAAAAAACTGGTTTCAGCAAAGCTGCGCGTCATCTGAAATTAAACTGAATATTTCCTTAGCATTTGCTAAAATGAATGTTACTTCAGATTCTGTCATTCCTGAAAGGTAGGTTGGATAGCAATTATTTTTGAGTTTGAGTACGAAATATTGCTGCTGGCGAAAAAAGGCGTATTAGCGTTTGGGTGCTTCCCTTGGCAGGTTGGCTCTGCAGCTCTTCCTGTTTGAGATTAGGTGTCAGACAAGGTAAGCGCTAAATCTCTACACATCCTAGCCTACCCTATAACGGTCTGCAGCTCATGGTAATATTTTTCGTATGGACGAAACTCTGCTTCTAAACAAGGCATAGGTGGTTTCCCTCTGGGGTTTCCAGCAGTGCGAAGCTAGTCCTTTCTCCTCCTCTGGTACTCAAAGAAGTCAGTTTAAACTGGGGGATCATCACTCACAGTTTCTCTGGGTCAACTTCCTATCAAAGATCTCAAGGTTCAAATCTTACTTAAACTTTAACAACTAGTCACGTGAACCAAAAACACTGGTATTTCTGGCTTTCAGTGTATGCTGTGTCCCTGGGACATACTTTCAAGGCCCAAGTATAGTTCTGCACTTAACTGCATCTGACTTACATTGGGGGCCTACAAAATTTCCCCCCAGTGGGTGTCAGAAAATTCGCTATCCAGTTCTTATGGAGAGACAGTGTTCATCATTTTCCTAACTTACCAATTAACTTGTAAATGCATATAACACGACAACCAATTAACTGAAGCATAATATCGATCATCAATCATTATTTCCCTCTATTCTGCCTTTTTTAAAGAAATGAAAATAAATTTAATTCATGTCTTCATAGTTTACACCAACATGTGTGTATGCTGGTAGGAAAATATCTCTTATGACTTTCCTGTTTTTTTTTATCTTACTTTCTGTTCTAATCACATGTCATATCAGTCATTCGCACATAGAATAAAGAATATGACAGGAGCGCTTCATTTTTCATGACTGAAAGCTCCTAAAGAAGATGTGTCTTATTTCTGATGCTTTCTTCTGTTAAAGGGATAGTATGTGGTGAATCTGTTTTTTGAAAGGTGATTTTGAATTCCACCTACTATCACAAAAATTTCCTTTTAGTCGTGATATTTATGTATTAGTATGTGTTATTAGTTCTTATACGTATTGTATACTAATCGACTTCTTCATATTGTGTGTCAAGTGAAACTTGGCTGCTTTTTAACTCTGGTGTTATATTCCTCTCTTATCATCAAAACACTAATTATTGAAGTCATGATAAGGACTTTTTACTGTTGTATATGTCCTGCATTTGTTTCAAAACGATGGCAATGATTTAATTAGAATCCTTGAAATGTTGTCACGTAGCTCAAATATCTTATATAGTACAGTAATTATGAAAAAAGCGGTAGTCTTAATGATTTTAAAAGTCAACTAAAATGTACTCGTCTAATCACCTCTTCACAGTTATGATATCTTGTTGCAGAAAGCAAGTTCGGTGGTTTGAAATTCATGATTAAACAGTCAAAAATTGTTAGAACTATTTAACGCAGCCCAGTAGTTTGAACATATATAAATACATGTACATATAAGGGGACTAGAAACCGCTATTTAGTTCAGAAGACACTTAATTCATATCATACAACCCTGTGATTGTTTTAACTGGTACCTAACTAATTCAGGACTGTCAGTTTGTATATAATTCTTAAAGCATTTAATTATTTTTAGTTGAAAGCAGTGTGTGTGTGTGTGTGTGTGTGTGCAGAAAAAACCCCACTACACTGTTGTCTTCTTTTAGAATATGGTTAAAATGTTTATAAGTGATGTGTTAAATTTACATGATAAACGAGTTAGAAAGACTACTGGATACTAGTTTCATCACTTGTTTTTTAATCTTTTACGTCTTCATTTTTACCCCTCCAGATATCCCTTTTTCCTTCCTTCCTTTCACTATTGTTATTAGGCAACCTACCATGTTGCTTTTTTCTAGTGATTATCCAATCCCTTGCATCATTTGATTTGTTCACTCCTTTCTGTGCTATGTTAATAATCCCCAGTGTGTCGCCTGTTTAAACACGAGATTTAATTTTTCACTGTCACAAGATTAATTTTGATGATTTTTCTTGTTTATTTATATAACACTTACTTAACTAGTCTACATTGTCGACACATTTGTATAATTGTAACTCATAAGTATCTATACAGTTTCTTGATGTTAAGTGTTGATAATGTCTTTAGAACTTACTTTTTGTGATGAAGCCACGTGCATGCTTTCTAATATTTTCAGCTATATTTTATTCTAACAGTCATTTTACGGATATGCTATCTATGTATTAATTCTACTTAACACATATCGGCAGTTGTGAACACAGCAATTTCAGAAAATTTGAACAGATCGCGATCTGTTCTGTTTGGGTTCAAATTTGAATCCGAAGTTGTATAACTTAAGTTTGTGTTTTAGACTACGAGAAACAGCCTATGTATAATGCAAATCTCAACAAATTCTATCATCTAAATATCAATCCAGCTCAATGGGTGGCTCTTCTGTAACTGTAGTGAGAAGTTGTAACCAATGGATTCCATCATGTTAAGCTAAAGTGGATGCTTATCGATGGCATTGGTGTGGGTAGTGCTATATTATCACAAATTGACAAAGTTAGAACTCACGGGTAAATAAATCCCAGCCCAAGTGGCTGAATAGTCAACAAGGTTGGTGTTGTAACCTGAATGTTCCAGGGCCGATCCCTAGTTGGATCGTCTATGGTACTGCTAAAGAGTCTTAAAATAGGGCAACATCATGGATATCTCTAACTGATGTTGGTTCGTGATGGAAATGTAACAGTTGAGATTATGCATGACATTTAATCAGTTTTCTGCTTGTAATAGTTATATTGTAACGGTAGAAGACAAGAGACTTGGTAAAGGAAGGTTTATTTGGAATTCGGTATCTCTATCTAGAGAAATCGTGTACGCCTTATTTGAAAATCATCATTTGCACAGATCTTCCGTATTGTGCTACTTCTGGCCTTCGTATTTTGCTTCTTTGTCTTCTTTGCATGTCTCCCGTGTTTTGCCGTAACACTGAATCATTTGCTCTCTTTGACATCTAATCTGTTTCTCTGCTACTTGATATTTTTTATACCAATGAACGTTTCTTTGTATACTACTGATAAATCTTATCAGTAGCACACACCACAACAGTAATAGTTGATTCCTGTCAAAAATTAGGTTTCAATCCGGGAAAGCAATTTTTCACCGACTTCCTAAACAACTGAGACCAGCAAATAATTTTTAACAAAATAATATATTTAAAGGGTTAGAATATATGTATATATAACAAATTATTTAATAGGTATAAATTCATATGGCCCTTGGTAGTCCAATTGAAAAATGAAAAGAAGAATGTATCAGTTTAAAGACAAGAAGTTTTAAGTGATTATAAAGTCCATCTTTGAATTAAAAACAATTGTAATCACAAGGCCCAATTCACATGCTTTTTGTACGGCAACAGAAATTACGCTTATATATATATATATATATATATATATATATATTCGTATATGGCATTTACGATTGTACCAAGTTTCTACACTTTATATAATGAAACTGCAGGCTGACTAGTGCTATCGCATTTGCAAACTTGCGTGATGCCTATTGACTTTGATTGAGTTGTCTGTTTTACCCATATTAATAATCTAACTACTGAAACTCTTCTCGGTATACCCTACCTAGATTGCATTAGTAGTGCGACTGTCTTTTACTGTGATTTTCGCATTCTGTACGTACCACTTCGGTAAACAATCAGTCTCATTATATGTAACCACACATTTTGTTATTGTTTATCTGGCGAATACAAAATGTTTTGTTTTTAATTTAATGCTTTTCAGTCACTCGATGCAAGCTTTTCTGTATAATTGTTTATGTGAGCTACATTTATTGTGTTGATGGGATTGTGTCTTATGATGGGACTGGATTGTGTTTCAAGAACTATCTATCTATTCATATAATGAATTAAAGTATGTATGATCATAGGTAATAGAAAAAAATCATTAGTGTTTAAACTATTAAAGACAACTACACCAAATCACTTCAAAAGCCATTTATAATAAGCTTACATGATTAGATTAAACAATTAACTAGTTTTAGTTGTGATATATCATGGATCATTTATTAGATATGTTTGATTATAAAATCATTCGTACCGGAAGAATATATTTTTTATTTGTTAAAACCCCGGCTAGGTACATTATAGGCACCAAGAGATTTTTTTCCTTCACGTTCCCCAGTGGAACTTCAAGCTATTGGTTTGAAGTTTCTGTAGTAGTGTTTATTTAACAGGATGGGGTTGCTAGTCTCATGCCCAACCTTTCCTCTTTACCAGAATTGTTTCTGGCTTAGCAAAGTAAAGGAGTGCGGCGTCGGCCGGGGATCGAACCCCGGACGATGTGCATGGTCGGCGAGCGTCCTAACCGCTATGCCACCGACGCACCACCAAGAGATTAGCCACACAAAGTCTCATAGTTTGTGTGACGGCTGGGATACTGCTCGGGCTCCCAGGCTGAAGCAAGTAGTTGCCTCGAGGCGCCACCTCCCGAGCCTTTGACTTGAAGTCTCATCTACAAGGCGATGAAGCAGCACCAGGAGCTACGACATTCCCATGGTTGACGGTGACCAAATCAGTTTCACATTTCATCCTTTCCTTTCGGATTTTAGAGTCCATGTACATCTTACGTTCAGAATCAGAGTTTTTTCGTTTCCCTATAAAGACGAGCATGTCCACTAGTCCGGTTGTAAGCATCAGACATTCACAATCACCCTTTCACTTTTGTGGGGAACACCGATGCCTCATGAATGCAGTGAATAGGACTTACCTGGAAGATGCAATGAATGTGTCCCCGAATCAAAGCATTTCGAGAGGAAGACCGAAGTCTACACACCCTCAGTCGTACCTGGTCATTTATGGGATATTACTGGGATATAAATTGCTGGGAAACGTCGGTCAACTTTATTGAATATGTTCGATGGAGTGACCTTTTAAAAAATTGGAATCCGATTTGGAAACACTCTCTGTTCATCGTAAATAATATTTTAAAAGGAACTGATGGAGGAGGTTGGATTTAGACTATGGCTATCAAAAGTATCCTGGACGATATTTTCCTAGTAAAGTTAGAGGGTGATTTTTTCAAAGTTGTTTTCAGCAGACTGAAATTTTGTTACTGTTACATGGATGACAAATTCTTGATTCTGAAAAACAGATATAAACCCTAAGACCATGCTGAATGGCATATTGTCAACAGTGAATTTTACCACAGAAAAAAGAATTCAGTAACATTGTCAAATGTCTTGATAATGAGCAAAAAAAGTTGAAGCAATAAAAAGTGGCTTATAGAGAAAGTCGACGTCAATGATTTAATAGGACTACTTTCTGAGTTTTATATCTTTGAAACATGATCGCATGGTGTTTGATTCGTTCAGCTAAAATGATCTCGTCAAATGGCTGTCTTGATGGCGAACTGAGTATTATCTGTCAAATACTCAGCAATGATGCATATCATAATTAGTTGTATGATTATTGTATGAATTTAATATTTAAGAGAATTATCATTACCAACAGCTTCGATGGAAGATGCTTTCACTAAAGCCTACAGTTTCGTAGGGCATACCTATATTTGAAGCCTGATAAAATCTTTTTTTATACGACTTTCAACATATATTTGGAGGTGTAATCAGGTAGGTATTAGCATTAACACTCCGCAAGCTATTGGTCCGGTTCATTATTAAGCGCATCGATATACTGCATGTAGTTGTTAAGTAACATGTCATTTCAGAGTACCCGCTTTTTATTTGTCATAACAAAGATAAACTGTAGAATTTCATCTCTGTGTGTAATTAACAGCTGTATGGCTGCTGTAGGGTCGGTTATACTGGATATGCAGTCGGCCATGTTAAATATCGTAGTTCCAAACAGTATTTTGCAGAGTTAGTTAATGGACAGAATAAATTCATTTTCTCAGATCTACTCTAGCACATCTTGTCAGTATTGAATCTATCAACGTCCAAATCTTATATCAAGTGCAATCACATTAACAAAGCTTTTGCAGTCATTTATCTGACGCTAATCCACATATGTCATCGGAATAAGTCGAAGCTCTGTATTCAAAAGACATTTCGACTGCATTTTTTCACTGATAATCATCACCATTAACTAAATTATATTTGGGAAATCTTTTATTTGTTTAAGTTGGTTTTTGGTTGGTTATATTGAGCTGAAATGTTCAATCTCTGCTGACATGTTAGCTCGTAAAGCGGACACTTTTACACAATATCTTAGGATAAATATAATGTTGTTTAGTGGTGGAGTCCAGGATGCGCACTTCATCCTATTTGGGACTCGTCATCATGATGTACCCACAGTTGCAGTTAGTGATGGCCTTCTCACTAAAACTCCAACCCAGCACCCACTGTGTTTCAACACATCTAAGCGTTATCCACTAGGGCAATGGAAGCTACATCTTGTGAAACTGGTGTCAGTTATTATTTGTTTAAACTTATTTTGTATTTTTCCGTTGATTGATTATGTTATTTCATAATGTCCCGCTCTCTTACCCTAATTATGAATTATCGTTAATTCAAATATCTTATTATTCTTCTTCATGTTTTCGTCCTTAATTGGTTTTATGTAATTTAACTGTAATAAATTTGATGATCTAATCTAACCACTCTCCAATTTTCTTACCTTTCCTTATGCAACCAACTGTTTCATCTTCTGTGAGTTTATAGTGTTTTAACTTTTATCCTTTAACTTTTAGCACAGTTCTGTTGGTTAACTATCTACTCTTTTACTATGTTGATATTCACGAATTTTCATTAATTAACATTTCGTCAATATATTCTGGAATTATATATATATATATATATATATATATATATATTGAAATTACTATACATTAGTATAGGGCAGCCATTGACAAGCATCTGATTAAAAAGCAGTCAGTCATTTAGTTACTGTTAAACCATCTTCAGTGCTCCCATTTAGACAACCTAAGGAAATTATGCAGGTTATGACTGTTTCTTACGAATAATTATATTTCATACATTTATTCTCTTGTATGAATTTGAATAAAGCAAGAACAACATTGGTTTATGCAGAATAATATGGTACCATCATTTATTTCGTTGGCTTCTCATCAGCTGTTGCTTACAGCCCAAATAAATTATTATTAAGTTCATGTATAGAAAAGTTCTAACATACTTGTAAAGTTTATGTAACTTCAGTTGACAGGAGGTTCTGGACTTAGTGAACAGTGCTTAGAAAATTACGCTTATATAGTTTGTATTTTTACGTGTTTCTGTGGGAGCAGTTACATTCGGAGAGCAGAAAGAAGGGCACACCTCCGATTTCCTGAACATGTACTAAAATGCCTATGTCTCAAGTGAACACACGCTTACAATAGTGCTATTACCAATCATCTCCTTGATATCGGTCTTTAGGTGGAAGTCTCCAATTCCTTTAAAATTATCAATAGACAAAAAGCTGAATTCTGCCCAAGTTTGCCGAAGCAATCTCCATCAAACGCCTGAAACCCACTTTATGTATTCAAAAAGAAGCAGTTATTAGTCCTTCCTTGCCCTGGTAACTGGATGTCTTTATTCTCTCTTCCATTCAATTACTTAAACTTCGACTTTAACCTCACTCACTCCTACTTTGATAGAGTGTAATTTTACTTGTCCCTTGTTTCTATGATTTGAATTGAACTCAGTTGATTGTTACTCAATATATTAGTTACCCATCATCCTAAGCATCTCTCGTCTTTACTTCTTAACTCTTTTACCATTCTATGCATACATCTACTTTGTTTAAACTTGAACTCCCCGTGATGAAAACTACGTAAGGATAATTTTCTGAGCACTGTCCACTAAGTCCAGAACCTCCTGTCAACTGAAATCATGTAAAATTTGCAAGTATGTTAAAACTTTTCTATATATGAACTTAATAATAATTTATTTGGGCTGTAAGCGGCAGCTGATGAGAAGCCAACGAAATAAGTGATGATATCATATTGTTCTACACAAACCATTTTTTTTTCGCTTTATTCTAATAAGTATTTGTTTTTTCTACATGTCTAACATATCATTCTATTTTGACTACTGAAAGATTTATTTTGACGAATTATAAATGAATATATTTACTTTTTTTACTTTTAAAACAGGGGGATAGTACCATAAGGTATTTTGAAATAACTGATGAAGAACCATATGTACATTATATTAATATGCTTACCAGTTCTGATCCACAAAGAGGAATGGGTTGGATGCCAAAACGTGGATTAGATGTAAATCAAAATGAAATTGCTAGATTTTATAAATTACATGCTAAAGGATTATGTGAAGTTATCCCGTTCACTGTACCTCGAAAATCAGAATTATTTCAAGATGATCTTTACCCGGATACAATCGGTGATGTACCAGCTTTGACAGCTGAAGAATGGATGTCTGGTAAAGATTCAGATCCTGTTTTGGTAAGTTGTGCATATATGTGTCATTATGCATTTAGCACTTTATTAATTGTAGCTTGTGATTTTAATGTTAACAGACGTTGGGTTTTTTTTGTGTCAGGTGTTTTTTCTCAGTGTCTCAAACACTTTGTAAACTCATACAGCCTGTGATTTATTATTTAAGTATTTTCGCTTTAAACAACTGCGTCTCGTGTGTTCAATCTTTTAATTCTACAGGTAACATATGAGCATTGGTTCAAGGTATAGATTCGAATTCAAATTCTACTTTATAAAGAATAAACATAACTCCAATATGTATTTGTTGTTTATATGTGGTGTTATTTTCAAATTGAGGGGAATAACTTAAGTATCCTCTTATCCTCCATTAGTACTCTTATAATAGGATAGGGTGCCATCATCATTATCATACTGGTTGCTTAAAAAGTAGGTTTATAGTCAACCTTTTATGCTGCTTACATGTACTTACTTGTTCAACAGTGCTTAAGAAGGAGGAAAAAGATTTTGAAGATCAATTGAACGTTATCTGACAAGTCATATGCAGAGAATGCATAAACTAACAGTATATCGAAAATATAGGTCAGATGGTATTCGAGTGTTGGTTTGTAGGGATTTGATTGGTTACAGGATTTCATCATGAGCTGACATTGGTTAGAGAACCACTGAAAAATCTGGGAGTACTGGACAGCTGATTCGTCCGAGTTTGGGACTCTTCAGTAGTACGCACCCACCGGAGTTCGAACCCAGGACTTTCTGGTTACAAGGCGAGCTCGTGTACCATTAAGTCACTGGGACCCGATCCAGTGGCCCATGAATTCTAACTTCTTCCAATTCACGACATAGTGCGACCTCTAGCCAATGTCCACGGCAAGTATTTGTTCTCACACCGACCTACTGCAACAAGCTGAGAAACTACCAGTTGTCATTGTCTTGTTGTATGGTGTCAGTTAACAATGGTGACATCTGAGAGGTGTGAGAAAAGTCCGTTAAAAAGAATTTTTTCAATTAATCATAGAGTTCTCTAAACTAGTAGAGTCAAAGTGAAATTAAATTAGAAGTTACCAGTATTATTTCACTGTAATAACAAAAGGCTTAAATATTTACCAAAAGTATCTACCACAATCAAAAAGCGAAATGTATTGGTACTTCCAAGGCACTCTACACTAACATATTAACAAGTTTGTATTCGCCGTTATTCGTAAATAATGGAAATTTGGCATAAAATAGTTTTTCAAGAGTTGATTTGTTCTTCAAGTTTGACCACAGATTGATATCAGCTAGAGAACCATTGAAAACTAAGGAGTACTGGGCGGCTGTTTCATCCTAGTTTGAGACTCATCGGTAGTACGCACCCACCGGGTTTCGAACCAAGGACCTTACGGTTACAAGGCCAATGATTGGCTACGGGACGTAGTTCCCTGGAGTTCTAGTGAGAAGTCGTGACCAGTGCGGTCCATCCTGTCAGGAGTGAAGACAAATACTCGCTGATGATATTGGCTGGTGGTCGCGCTAAAATCACGAATTGGTAGAAGTTAGAATTCATGGGCCACTACTGAGTTGGGTTCCAGTAGCTGAATGGTCTGCGAGCTTGCCTTGTAACCGGAAGGTCCTGGGTTCGAATCTTGGCGGTGGGTGTGTATTGTCGATGATTCCCAAACTAGGATGAAACAGCAGCTGTCCAGTACTCCCTGGTTTTCAATGGTTCTCTAGCTGATATCAATCCGTGATCAACTCGTAAAAATTTCAGTATTTTTGGATTTCATTGATTTTGACGTAGATTGAGATTTTATTTTGAAACAATTTGTTGTTGTCTGTACTCACTACCTACCACTGCTGGGGCAGGAGGAGGATTGAAGATGCCTTTTGTGGTGAGGAAATCAATGACAGCACGTATAAAACTCCTTAGGTTACTGTTGTAATACTTTAAAACTGTTTCTTCATACATTGCTCTTGATACAATGAAATCACTTTCTTATTCTTCAGTAAAGACTCCATTTACATAGAAATGTAGTAATCTGAAGTATATTTCGACTACTCTAAAACACAATTGTTTTGGGAAGTAATGATAAGGTGTAAAGGCGAATATCTTAACGGAACTGTTACTTGAAGTGTCATTTATTGTCTAATATGTATATCTGTTGATATTACGTATAAGATAGACCACTTCACAACATAAGCAAACAAAACCAATTGGTTGTTTGACCTAACGTTGACCTTAAGGTTAAACACTTCTACTTCGTTTCATTCTCATTGAGAATATCTAACAGACAAAATAATAATAATAACTACAGATTTTCAACTACCATCATCGTTCATTAACATATTTTAGTATTGACTGAAATTTTGACAAAACAAACTTGAATAAATTTCGTTTCTAATCTGATTTTTTCATTTTGCCCCATAAAAAAATCTCAGTAGACACTAGAAGAATAGGGCTTTAATAATATTTTACCAATCAGTGTTTAATTTTATCGATTTTCTTTTGCTTTTATCGATTTCAAATCTGTTTTGTTGACTGTGTCCACAATTTTTAATCGATCAATGTAAAATTAAATCTTTTATTTTCGAATCGCCGTTGTACACCGCATACCACTTATTATTATTATTCTTTATACTGGTTTTCAAAGTTATCACCATGCTTACACACACACACACACACAAACACAAGCTTATACATAGATTGATCAGATAGGATCTGGCAGTAAACAGTAAAACTCAATAATTACTGCTAATATTATTATTATTGTTATTATATTTCAGTAACTACCACAAATTATATGCGTGTACTTGCCTACAGAATGTATTCAGTCTATGTGTGTATATAGGCAAGACAATTTTCATGTTAAGCTAGATCCTATATAGTGATCAATTTTTAATGCTGGATTATTCGCGGTAATTTTAAGTTTTGTTTACTTGCCCAATAGATATGAGTTAGTTACACACAAATATTGTTTGTATATATATATATATATGTATATATATATATATATATATATATATATATATATATATATATATATATATATATATATATAATATTCACGTGCTATATTGCCATAAATGGACTTACTGCTGTTTTTACCCTGATAACATGAATGTGAAATATCAGCTGTTTTAATGGTTGCTTTACGCATCTGTAGACGTGTATTTGTCTACATTTATATGTGGGCTTTCAATCAGTTCAGTTCGCATGGTTTTTTATTGGAAGTTACAAATTTGTGTTGGCCAGAGGAGTTATTTTCGTGATGTCTACCTTTTAGTTTTACAGGTTTCTTAAAATATTTTCTCTAACCCCTGTGTCCATGTGGATATGTGTGCTTGTGAATATATGTTTATTTTATAGATAGCTTAGCTAATGTATTAATATTTCTACACCCTAGTGTTTGTACACAGACATACAAAATATCTCTCCTTATTTGTGTATACTATTTTGAAAAATATAATTTTGGTGTGTTTATACATTCAATCAATATTGATTACTTATGTACTATTATTTTTAATATTAATTCCCCTGTAACTATTTTGGTGCAAAACCACGCGTATCCATGTTTCAATTGCTGATCTGATTCCTGAAAGTTAAACGACAATCATCAGTTGAAAAAAAGCTGCCCATCAAGTCGTAATTTGTGTTAACCATATTTGTCTTGCAAAAAGTGTTGTGCTGTGCCTGAATTCATTCATCCAGTCATATACCTGTTGGAGACCTAGCTGGTCTTTCATTCTTCTATCCACTGTTCTTATTTCACGTATTTCTTTGTTTTAAGTTTGTTCACCGATTGATATCAGTCAGAGAAGCGTTAAAAAAGCCAGGGAGTATGTAACATCTGTCTCGTCCTAGTTTGGAACTCTCTATGCGTTAACGTTGTATAGCATACTGTATACACACTGGTCTTGAATTTAGTTATGCGACAAGTATTACAGCTTCATGGGTTGTTATGCATCTTACCTTTTAGGAAAGAAGACATCCTTTTGTTATATTCACAGGTGAATCAGGTTGACTAATACAGCATTTTGCGTCGGTGGCTTAGCGGCATAATGCTTGTCGACCACGCATGTGGTCCATGGTTCTATCCCCGGCCGATACACTTCTTTACCTCGCTTATCCGGTAATAAGACCGGTGAAGAAGGAAGGCTGGGGCTTGAAGCTAGCAACCCCACCCCGAAACAAAGCTCTAGCTTGAAGCCCTATGTTCTATTCGGAACGTAAAGGAATAAAACAAAAAAAGGCACAGCATTTAAAATCCTAGAGTGCATAGCCCTAATGTAAATCTAGGTGGCCTCGAGAGAAACAGGCTTGAGAAAATCAAACAGGTTTCAGACGCGGATGATGATGACGATGCATTGAATAAATCTTATCCTTTCAACAGGATTTGGAACAGATGAATACTTCCTGATGTCAAACGTTTTGACCTGTAAGAAATACTTGACTATACCGATATAGAGGTGTAGTTTCTATGTTTAGTTTTGAAGGCAGTTCTGAGAAAGCATATGATGTTAACCTCTACTTGAACTCATGTAGCAGTGTAAGAGCTTATTGAAAGTTGTCATTTTCACATAACAACAACCAGTAGTGTTGTACAGGGATAATGCACAGTGTCAGCATTCTTACTTAATTTCATTCCATATATATCAGACTGCCCACTAAACAACATTACATGATGTGTTGTTTTTTCTACGGGTATAAGACTTGGTCACTGGAAACGGAAGATATTGAAAGATTTCAGGTTTCTGACCATAAGTGCTTCTGTCCGCTCTTTTGTTCTAGGTGGTGCAATTTGTTTAATAATGATGAGGTTAAACATAGTGTTGGATATAAGGAGAATCAGTGTTTCACAGAATTTATAAGGCTATGTTGGTTAAAGGTCCTAAGCCACGTGTTATCTAATACCGAACATTGTCAGCTAAAGTAGAATTAAGTTAGAGTAGAGCTAAGGGTGGTTGGATCAAAACATGACACCGATTCATGTAGTTATTGACTGTTGACAACAGTCAGTTAAAATTGTGAT